ATCTAGATATATCTATATCTAAAACAAAATATTTACCATTTCAGTGTTTTATTACAGGTACAATTGAGCAACATTACATTGATCCTGTTGTATAAGCCTTGCCACCATACACTTCCATATTTTTATTACCCTTAATAGCAGATCAGTGACCCCAAAACAGTGACTCTCCCTTTTCATTCCCCTCCTGTTCCTGATAACCACTAATAAACTTTGTTCTCCCATACATCTGTCTGTTCTAGCTATTTTATGTAAGTTGTATCTTACATTATTTTTTGCCTTTTGTGACTTATTATACTTGGCATATTTTTTAGGCTTCATCCACACTACAAGTATGGATCAGGACTTTATGTTTCTTTGTAATATTCCATATTATGGAGTCATATTCCATCGTGTGTGTGTGTTCTCTATCCATTCATCTGTTGCTAAACATTTTCCTTTTCTGTTTTATGAACAGTGCTGTAGTTAACACTGGTATTTGTGTGTTTGTGCACCTGCTTTGACTTTGGGTGTATCGTAGGAATAGAATTGCTGGATCATACTGTGTTCTGTTTAGCTTTATTAAAGATCCACTAAACAGTTCTCAGTGGCAGCCACGTCATTTTAGAGTTCTTGATGAATGTAGATTCTCCATGGTCATAGCAACACCTGTTGTTTTCAATATTTTTTTTAAAAATTCTATCCATCTTAGTGGGGATGAAGTGATAGCTCAGTCTAGTTTTGATTTTGATTTCAAAAAACACCTTTTAAAATGGATAATACTAATTTTTCCTCCTTCCTTAGCCTCTTCTTTCCTTCATTTACTTTCACTGGCTCCTGATTTGTTTTCTTTCCTGTTGCTTCTTTCTATGCAATTGTTCCCTCTGGCTGCATGGGACAACATCATGTCAGTGAGATGATTTCTTCAGTAGCCTAGGTAAGCAAGAAGTAAAGGAGCTAAAAGGGTATGGGTGTTAAGTGCTGCTAAAATGTAACCAAGTATAAATTAAATCTTGTAATGCCTTTCCTCTCAGATAAAGTATTTCTAAAGCAGGCACAAATCAGGCACTAAAACATTCACAAGAATAATTTTTTGTTATTGTCAACATTAAAAGTGCCTCAAGATTAAAAACTGACTCAACTATGAGTCACATCCGACTGAATGGCAAGGAGAGAGAGAGAGAGAGAGAGGTTCCTGTTTAAGATCTCTATAACTCCATCTTTACAAGGTTACCATTGTAAATTTTATTGGGCTTGCTGCTGTAAATATATAAAATTAGCTTGTTAATATTTAAAAGGCTGTCATGCAAGCAAGAAAGAGGGTGTGCTAATATCTGGGTAGTGCTTGAATTCTGCCCCTGGGAGGATAAAATCACCAAGGAAAATGAATTAATTTGTCTCATATTTATACCTGTTTTAAGGATGAAAAGCTCCAAAATAAGAATTTTGTGTGGAAGTAATTTTTTTTTCATTTAAACTCTTTTTTAAAAAATTTTATTATTAATTTCAATGAAAACTTAGAGACTGGATTTCCAGTCAGTTATTGTTGCACTTTTCTCCCCTACCAATCCTCCCCCCCACCTCCCACCCCACCCAGTATACTACCCTCTTAATCAGGGGCTGCTGCTTTTAGCAAGAGAATTTTCTAGGTTCTGTGGGGAGTGGTGATTGAGAGTATACACCAATTTAGAATTATTTTATTATCTATTCCCCTTCTCTAATGATTTTGCTTTAGTTCAACATTTGCAAAAGATCTTTTTATTTAAAAAAAAAACAAACATCCAAACCCTGAGTCTATCACCATCACTCTTAAGCAGAATATTTTGCTTAAATTACAGTTACAGATACCATCTCCTTTACACTTAATACCAGAAGTTAAGCACCCTCAAGGAGTTAAAACTTTGTGCATTTTATCATTGCAAAATAATTGGAATTGGTTGAGGAGACATGTAAGTGGACTTTAGCCTTGTTTTTGTCTGCTTGCTTGCTTTTGCCACCTTTTATGTACTTTATTTCATTTGTTCTGAGAAGTGTTAATGGGTTTTGCTGAAGTGCTGTGAATGGGTTACAGGGTACAGGTAGGCGGCAGTCTTGAGACTGTCAACCTTGAAACGTCTGGAAAATCCAGAGATGGCTGCAGCCACTAAGCTCTTTACTCCAGAATTGAGCTGCCAGCAACCATAACATGAAAAAATGTTGAGAAACACTGACACAGGAAATGATGTGTGTGTGTATATAGTTGTTGTGTACTGTCGAGTCAGAACTGACCCATAGCTTACCCTCCACCCTCCAGTGGGTTTTCAGAGGCGGTTAATCACTCGGGAGGGGAATGCCCATCCTTCTCCCACAGAGCAGCTGGTGGCCTTGAACTGCGTGCGGTTTGGGATTGCAGTGCATCTTCTTACCACTAGGCCACCAGAGGATGTGTATGTGTGTGTTTGTGTTGAAAGGACACTGATAAATGATGATGTAATATTATCTTTTTTAAGCCAAATAATTATTTTAAGTTAGTGATTTTTAAAATAGCCTATGAGAGAATAGTCTAAAAGTATTATATTTTAGGGCATTATTTTTATTGTAGGTGTATGCAATGAGGGTTG